CCCAAGATGAAATAGATAATGTGAGTGGTCAAGAAATTAAATTTGTAATTTAAAAGTTCCTGAAAGGAAATCTCCAGACTCAGCTAGTTTCACTAGAGAATTCTACCAAATATTTAAAGAATTAACACCAGTTTTACAGTCTCTTCCAGAAAATAGAACAGGAAGGAAACACTTCCCAATTCATTTTATGAGGTCATTATTACCCTGATGCCAAAATGGATACACATTACAAAAGAAAAAAAAAGCTGCAGACCTCTATCTCTCACAAACTTAGATGCAAAAGTCCTCAACAAAATAATAGCAAATCAGTTCTAGCAATCCATAAAAAGAATTATGTTCTACGACTGAGATTTATTCCAGGTATGCAAGTCTGGCTTAATATTCAAAAAAATCAGTTGATGTAATCCATCATACCAACAGACTAAAGAAGAATGATCATATGATCATATCAGTTGACACAAAGCTTTTGACAAAATCCATCACCTTTTCATGATTAAAAAAACCTAACAAACCACCTCTTAGCAAATGAGGGCTAGAGGGGAGCTTCTTCAGCTTGATAAAGAACATCTGTAAACCTACAGCTGTCATCATCCTTAATGGTAAGAGACCACGTTTTCCCCCTAAGGTCGGGAACAAGGCAAGGCTGTCCATTCTCACCATTCTTACTCAACATAGTACCGGAAGTTCTAGCCAGCACAATAAGGTAAGAAAAGGACATCATCAGTCACTAGGGAAACAAATCAAAACTACACTGAGGTGCACTTCACATCCACTAGGATGGGTAGAATAAAAAAGATAGATAATTACATGTCCTGGCCAGGATGTAGAGGAATTTGAACCCTCACACAGTGCTAGTGGGAAGGTAAAATGGTGCAGCCACCTTGGAAAACAGTCTGGCAGTTCCTCAAATGTTAAACTTGGAGCTGCAGACGACCCAGCAGTTCCACTCCTATGTTTATACCCAGGAGACTTGATGTGTCCACACAAAAACCTGTACACAGATGTTCACAGCAGCATTATTCACAGTAGTCCCCCAATGGAAATTCTCTTCTTGATGTAAAGGATTGTGGAATTTTTTAGTATCTCCTTTTTTTTAGTTATCTAAGAGTAATAGTGGAGAAATTTGGTTATAATTTCTAATTAATCATCTTTACTGAGTTATAGAATGATTCTAGAGCATTTTAGAAAATGATTGCTAACAACTAAATGGCTTTAAAATAGTGGACGGTCCATTTAGGCAAACTCTCAGGATAATCATGTTCTTTAGCCGCCCTATAGGGGAAATATTGGGGGGGCGGTTCTCGGTATGATTACAAGTCTTCCTCCAACAAAGACGACTCCTGCTCTCTTGGCCTAGATTTCATAGTTCCCAGCAATAGGCACCACTTCTTTTTAAATTACTATTTAATATTTGATATATATAGAATTATATAAATTATATATTAAAAATTACTACTGCCACTTTGTATCTGCTATTTTTAGTACAGTATCTGTCGCATGATAGATGCTCCATTAACAACTTTGAAATGAGCTGGGTAAGCAATACCTGATTCCTTTACAGATCTCAGTCTCTCTCTGAACTTTGTAAAAATGTCCACTGTAAGTAGGTGTTATTGAATTGAGAATAAAAATTGCTTTAAGCTAGAACTGGAATTATTACCAAGTAGATGTTATTTTCAGAAAGTCGCTTGGTAAAGACTCCTCTGAAATAAATTATTATTGCCTTCATCTCTTTATCAAGATGTCTTGTATATGTATATGGAGAACAGAAGCGGCACAATGGCAGAGTTTCATTTAGAAAATGAGAGGTGTAGGTGCTCCCGCTGCAACCCCCACTCACCTCCAGCCGTGCTTCTGGAGCGGGTGGTTCCGGGCCTGTGTGAGCTGCTTGGCCAGCCTTCCCATGAGCTCTGAGTGCATGAGTGCCACGTTATCCACACGTGTGGAAGAGGTAGCAGATGTCTTTCTTGGATCTGGTTGCTGTGTATCACATCTGAAGATTTTTCTGGATCCTTCCCAAATCCTCCAGAAGGCTCTAGTGAGCTTTTTTTTTTGTTTTTTTTTTTGCGGTATGCGGGCCTCTCACCGTTGTGGCCTCTCCCGTTGCGGAGCACAGACTCCGGACGCGCAGGCTCAGCGGCCATGGCTTACGGGCCCAGCCGCTCCGCAGCATGTGGGATCCTCCTGGACCAGGGCACGAACCCGTGTCCCCTGCATCGGCAGGTGGACTCTCAACCACTGCGCCACCAGGGAAGCCCTCTAGTGAGCTTTTAATGATTAAAGTTTTCCTGGTGTTTGAGCCTCTAGGTTCTCCAGGAGAAGCCCCTTTGGGTAAAAGTGCATCTGGGGTGTGCCCTTCAGGGTGAGTGGTGGCTCCCAGCTGGACCTGTTCTCTTCTCAGCCTGGGTGCCTTTGAAAAGTCCTCTGAATCACTGGTAGTTAGGTTTACATGCAAGCTGTTTCCAAAGACTAATTTCAATTAAAAGGTCATTATCTTAGATAAATACAAAACCAAAACAATATATTGGAAGTAGCTCATCTGTTGGGTTTTGTTTTGTTTTGTTTTTTTGTATTCCTGGGTTAGCAGCTTGAAAAATGAATCGTTGGTGGAATTGTTTGTCTTGAATGTCATTTTTTAAAAATGTTACTGATTCTAATTAACCCCAGCGCAGAGCTGTCATGTGCCCAGTGGTGACAACAGGTCCCATATGAGTCTGAGGGGACTATTATTGTGTGTTACCACACTTCAGATTATCTGCAGCCACATTTAATGCTTTCTGCCAGTTTATACATCAGCATACTGCAAGGGGCTTAAGAAATAGAGGTTTCTATCAATGATCACTGTGAATTGGGAAATTTAGTTTCTAGTGGACTTACTTGGGATGAAGATGTTCCTGCATCGTCTCCCTGTCTCCTTGTGCCTCCTCTGCCTCAGGTACTTTGCAAGGCTCTGGGCCAAATGCTCGTGGACCACACGGTGCAGCCCGAGGCAGACCTAACACAGAGGCACTGAGCAGATCGCTACCTGACAGCACCACCCGGCTGTGTCAGGGCTACGGGAGCGCTGCCTCCACAGAGGACAGGGCACAGACGTCCTGACATCAGCAGAAATGCCCTTAACCCACCGAGCACCCCACGTGGCTGCCAGGGCATGGGAACCCACCCCACCCCCGCCTCCCCCTGGGGGCCTGTGTCTAAGGCTGGCTTGGGAGAAAGGTGGCCTTGGTGTGACACACTGCTTCACTTCTGAGAGCCTGAGGCTGTAGAAGCTCAGTGACAGGCAACAGCAAAGATGGAAGGGCTGCAGCATTTGGGGGCTGTAGCCAGAGGACCTGCTCTTCGCTTCTCAGAAAGTAAATTTACTGTGGAAGCAGATTATAGACAGAGAAGTTAAAACTAGTAACCCACACCAACATTTAAGAATATTGAATCTTGGTTTTACATAAATGATTTCTTCTTCCTACATTGTTTCCTGTAATCATCACGTCTGTGCACAGTTGTGGTAAGGCTTGCAAGAAGCATGTGCATTGGCTTCAGTCCCAGGCCACCTCTCCAATGCCCCTTTCACCGTTGAAGACTGTGCACTCTGTTCCCCTCCCGGAGCCTGACCCATTGCTGATGTCATCCTCCCTCCTGGGCTGGGGAGAACGCACTTCCACAGAGCACACAAGTCGAGACCACTTCCGGCAGGCTCCCCTGGCTCTGACACATCTGCAGCCTCTGCGTCTTTCCGTCTTTCCGCATGACTCAGGTCTGATAAGCCGCAGACCCACACGGCACCCAGACCCGACATCTTTCCTAGCGTGTTGTCACAGCAGACCTGGAAACTAATTTCCTGTGTGGAGCAGGTTGCTTCACTGGTGCTATTTTAGATTGTAGAGCTGGAGCCAAGGAAAGGATTAAAAGTGATTCTGCCTTCCCTTTTCTCTGTGCTTTAAAAAACCCACTCTGCTGATGGTTGTACAATGTGAGTGTACCTAACGCCACTGACCATACAAATAAAATGGGTAAGATGGTAACTTTTATATTATGTATATTTTGCCACAATAAAAAACCCCTTCCTCTAGAAATTGCAGTTTTTATTTAGTATTAAGTATACTAGAATTTGATTTGTATTCTGGATTTACTATTCCTTCTATTAATAATCTGAAGAGGTTATTAATAGAAGTACTGCTTTTACTGCCTTCCATTTGAGAAGGTTTTATCAGCATTAATAATGACAATACTTTACATGTCGTAATCAATGTTAGGTATATATGAGTGAACACAGCTTTGTGTGTATTTAACTTACAAAGTTCACCCGAGACTGCTGTTTGGAAAAGACCCTGCAGAGCACTCATGTTAGTGTCACAGGTGTGTGGTATAGATTCAGGAGGGTCCGGATGGGATGAGGGAGTGGAAAACGGCCCTCAGGCCAGGACCAGCTTCCCGTACTCATGACTAGGACTCGCCCGGTGACCGGCAGTTCACGTCATTTCTTGGGGTCTCTGTTTCCTCATTGTAGAAGGTTTTTAAAATTGGAAAGAAGACTTACCTCATGGGGATGTTGTAAAAAGCAAATGAAATAATAGCCAGTGTGAAAGAGACACAATCATGCAGACATAGGGGATTATTAGTAAGGAGCAAAACCCGAGACACATAAACATTCTTTTCAAGTTGGGAAACAAACGAGCAGCCATCAGTGATTAAAATTATCCCTTCCTGCCCCATCTGTCCTCCTCAATGCCATCATCACCTGAAACCCCAGCCCCTGGTCTTCATGGAGCCCCGCCCCCTGGCGTTTATAACCCAGGAGTCCTTAAAAAGTGATTTGGGGCTGGAGCTTGTGGTCGACTCCAGGAGAGGATCTAGCAGCTGGGCCTCTCTCCAGAGGACTTGGCCAGGAACCCCCAAGCTTTAAGCCTCGGTTGATGGGTCCTTTCCTTCGTGTCACATTTCTGGCTCAGTCTCCAGTTGTGCGTGACAGTTAAGCTGCTGTCTTCCTTCCTGTCCCCCTGCAGGTCGCTGCTATTAACCCAAACCACCCACTGGCCCAGATGCCTTTGCCCCCATCCATGAAGAACTGCATTCAGCTGGCAGCCTGTGAGGCCAACGAGCTCCTGCCCATGATCCCCGACCTTCCAGCCGACCTATTCACGTCATGCCTCACCACCCCCATCAAAATCGCCCTGCGCTGGTAAGTGGCGCCCACCTCGACTCCCAGCAACCCCCTTGGGGTTTGCTGCAGGGACCCAAGGAATCTACCTGGGTCTTTTGGACCAAGTTACAGGTGTGAGCTCAGGACCCCAGGTGGATGCTGGGGTTTTCCTCTTGGGGTTCAGGATGCGCTGTCCCCCGGATCAGGTGCGTGTGTGGCTTCCAGGAGCACCCTCTCCATTTCGTGGCTAACTGTGGCTGTGCCCTCAGATAGTACCAATGTGGGTCATGCTGGAAAGTGGACTTTCTTTTGAAAAAAGAAAAGCCTTCATTAGTTATAGAATTCTTTGCTTGAGTTGAAGTAGAATCTTTCAGTTTATTCCCAGCAGTAAAAAATAATAATAATAATGATTTTTTTTCCTACCGCCACTCTTTTGAGAAGTTGAGAGCTCTTGCGAATATGACTGAGGAAATGTGTGGAATATTCCAAGACAGTAGGACCTGCATTTAAGACCCTCCATCACTGGCAGGACTCACAATGGAATGTGTGTGCTTCTTGTCTCCAAATCCAGTTTTCTCCCCTAGACCGTCTTGCTCTCTTTTAATATCTACTTTTCCCTTTTATATTTTGCTGGAACCCATATACATGGAGGTAAGTAGCTCTTGGTGAGGCACAGGCGGGACGGTGCAGCCGCGTGGGTTCACTGGACTCTGTGGAGGCGCCTTCCTCCGTTTCCTGCCGGGGTGTCCTAACAGCGCAGAGGCACAGGGTCCTGCTTCCTCCCCCACAGCCCTGGAGAAAGTGGGGAGACAAGCAAGGACTCTGGGGGCAACGACACAGTACTCAATCCCTCGGGAGGCCCCTCGGGTGACTACAGCCTGGGTTGGGGGTCCTGTGGTTGCCTTGAGCTGCTGGTTGGATGAGAACTTGGACTTGCAGCTTCACCTCTGTAGCAGCATCAGGTTGACCCACGGCACCTGAGTGAGGGCATCCACCTCCCACCCCAGCCCTCCCAAATCCCGGCTGTGGATCCCCCCAGGGAGAGGCCTCTTCTAACATGCCTGATCCCTAAGGAGCTAGTGGAGGAGGTGTCCCCCAGCTGCCGAGCTCACCCCCCGACTCAGCCAACTCATACAGGGCCTGACCGGGGCCATTCCCCACTGCACCCCACAAAGCATAGCACACGTGGCAAAAGCAGACTCCAGGGGAGAGAGATGAGCTAGTCATCGTGCGAGGCAGGACTGTTGTCATGAAGCACAGTGCACGTGATGGGAGGTGAAGGGAGGAAGATGCTGGCTGGTAACAGAGTGAGACTACGACCTGGGGATGTTGAAAAGAACCACATAGAGATACAGGTGAGAGGACTATGGTGTTTGAAACAAAGGACACAGTGGACGGGATTCCTAGCGGGAGGGGTGGCTGCAGTCTGACTTAGCACGTTGGGAGATTACAGCAAGGGACTAGGCGCTGGGGAAGGCAGCAGGAGGAGAGAGACAGAAAACAGAAGAAGAGCAGGAGACACGGGGGAGATGGAAGCTCCCCCATGGAGAGAGAAGGGGAACGTGGCAGAGCTGGAAATACCTGAAGGTGATGCGGACACATTCTTCAGAACTGGAGAAAGCTCGAAGGATCTGAGAGGCTAGGGCTGATGGGAAGGGAGGGGAGTGGGGACCCAACCTCGGGGTGAGGCTGAGGCTGCACAGCAGCCACACCCACACTGCCTCTGAGCATCACTCCTTTCTTCGTGGCTGCGCTGCCCTTGACTGTAGGGCTTTTTGTTCTTTCATTTATAAGTGAGTTTTTCTATTTAACTCTCTGTACTCTGTGATTGCTGTTAGAAAAGGTTTATGGTGCCATTTAATGTGACCTCAGAAAGATCTCTGATTCAGATGACTCAGGAAGTTGTTCATTTTATTCATCGTCCAAGAAATAATTTACTAAATACCAACTGTGTAAGCCCATGGGTAAGCACTATAGGCGATACAAAGAAGCATATTGTCCTGAAAAATTTACGGTCTCGTTGAGGAGACAAGATGTGACCTGAAAATTCATTATCTAAATGGGTGCTTCATGCCAGGCAAAGAAATCTGAACATTTCAGGCAATGTATGAGCAAGGACTAAATGGATCTGTGCCACCAAGGGCTATGTGTGTTTCCAGAGAACAGAGAAATCCCTAAGGGCCAAGGGGATCAGGGAGGGCTTCTCGGAGGAGAGGAAGGTTGAGTCAGGGTCTGGGCAGATGGTGGGATTCGAAGGGGAGCAGAGAGCACCACAGGCAGGTGGCCCCCAGTGCAAGAAACCATCCCTGAGTAGCGAGAGTGGGTCAGTAGAGAGAGGACATCGTCCAGAGGGGTGAGGTGAGGTCGGAGTGTGGGCCGGCATCAAAGGGTGGGCCGCCTTGATGTTGGGCCAAGGACCTTGGCTTCTAGGACTGGTGGGGGAAGGTGTTTATGTGGGGAAATGACTTAAGAATAGTGTTTAAGGAAAATAATCCATGTAAGGATGGGGAGACCTTGGTCAAATGAGGCCTTTATCACAGCAGTGAGATCAGGATCCAAACTAAAGCAGGAAGGTGGAAATGGCCGTAGACCCCTCGGTGGGAGGGCCCACAGACACACCCCAGAATCTGCGGTGCAACAGGCCTCATTCCCACTCATTTTCCTGCCCCTCCCTGTGGATTTCCTGCCCTTACTGCACCTGTGCACCCCGACTCTGGAACTGACGGTGCACACCAGCTGTGCTCCGGGACCCCGGGCTGGGTGCTACACCTGAAGGGGCTGTGAGTGGAGGGGTGGACTGGCGAGGGAAGAAGCAGGAAGAGCACAGACGGGGCCTCCTGCCCATGCCACTCCACACTCTGCTGCCAGCGCAGTGAGTTTAATCTGTTTCTCCCCCGTGTCTCCGGCCCTGTCGTCCTCCACCAGAGGTCAGAAGGATGTGGCGTCCCTTCACTGGCAGCGGTGGGTCCCTGCCCTCTGGTCAGGGGTCAGGCAGTAGGCTTTCAGTCCACCATGATGCGATGCATTGTCTTGGTACCTACCCGAAATCCTTTTGGGAGTTAATATATAATTAAATTTTTTTAAAGTAAGGATTTAGTAGGAAGCACAGTGAAAAATCAAACTAATACAGTTACCAGAGAATGGACTTTGAGGTCAGTACATCACGGTTGTGGATGATGGTCGTCAGATAAGCACTGCCTGGAGTGATTAAGCAGAGTCCCAGATGGGTGGATCTTTTACAATTAACCACTTTCTGCATACTGAGGGATTGAAATTAGATCGAACATGACATTTCACTGAGTGTCCTTAGCCTGTGAATGGCAGTAAACCATATTCATGGGAAGAATTGTCAAGGGAATTCTGTACTTCTTTGTAACAGCTGAGTTTTAAAAAATAAAGAGGCACCAGCCTTTTTATACATGAAGAGAGGAGACAGTTTGCCAGATAGTATTAATACTTATATTTTTAGGGTTAAGTTTCTTTTTTTAATTTAAAAGTCAGTTTAATATTTTCCAGTGAAAAATGGGATATACATTCTTTTAGAAAATTTACTAAAAAGTAAAAAGAAGGAAAAAATTGTCCAAGATTTTACCACCATTACCACAATTAGTGTTAACTTTTTGGTTAAAAAGTCAGTCTTTTTTTTGTGTATGTACATGTTTGCATTGATGTAATTAGACTAAATTTACAATTTCATATACTTAAACCTTAGCATAACAAACTTATTTATCCTTGACCATTAGAAACTCTTAGTAAATGTTATTTGTAGTGATTGCATAATATTTCACTGTACTGATGTTCTGTGTTATTCAACCAAGTATAGGGCTTTAGGTTTTATGATTCAGGTAAGCTCAGAGTAGCTCTAGAATAGGGGTCCACGGGCTTTTTCTGTGAAGGGCCAGATAGTAAATACTTTAGGCTTTGTGAGCCCGAGGGTCCCAGCTCTGTTGTCGTAGCATGAAAGAGCCATAGAAAGTATGTAAACAAATGAGCATGACTGTGTTCCAATAAAACTTTATTTACAAAAACAGGCAATAGGCCACATTTGACCTGGGAACCATAGTTTGCCATCCCCTGCTTTCGAGAATGGAGCCAGGCTTTTACCTTCAAATGACTGCTAAACTTACCTGTTGGTCAGTGAACCCAAACAATAAATAACCTAGGAAAAACCTTTGCTCGGGAAGGTTCCTGTATAACTAAGAGGATGGTTTTAACAAAACTGCACTCATGTGAGGCACAGTTGCTAAAGAAAGTTATATACCTTGTAAACCGAATACAGCCTTACTTTATATGTACAAAATATGTGTACATATATTTGCTGGCAAGTATGCTTATAAATCTTATTTGATGATGAAGTAGTTGTTGGAAGACATCATTCTCTGATTTTTGTTTCATTTTTGCTTCAATCTTATTTTCAGAAACTGATAATTTTAGTAATTCTGAAGTGAGCAATTACATTACTCTCCCTGTAAGTGATTTCCTTACTCACCATATACATCAATATAGGATAAGAATCCAAAATATGTTTTTTTCCTTAGGCTGTTTTCTACTTACTAGATTGAGTGGCAGAATACCATCTTAAATTTATTATGGATATATTTGTGTGCTACTGAAATTATAACTCAGTGGTACTTAATTTGCTGTGGGACTTGCTGCAAAATAGATTGATGCCCATTGCATTGTGTGTCATGCAGTTATATTGTCTGTTAATGAAAATGGCAGCATCATTTTGGATTGAATAGAGGTCAAGAAACATGTTTCCTTCATTTCAATTAAATTGAGTAATCTCAAGGAGTTTAAATGTTAATGGCATAGTATTACCGAAAATTTGCCAGCACGGAAAGCCTTGTCTTCATCTTTGCCCAGATAGAGAGGCAGCTGCAGAGACACCCCGCCCTGCAGCTGCACTGTGAGACCCTGCATCGTCCATCCGGCTGGGCCCCGCGCTGTGTCCTGCTTGTCTCACTGCAGATGCTTGCTTTGCATTTTGTGACACTTCTGGCATTTGCTTTGTGTTTTGTCTTGAAGACTCAACCAAG